AATGGTGGAGTTCCCTTTAAAATCTTAAATGATTCCCTTTGAGCTAAATTATTGACCTGTTTCCCTTACATAGAGCAAGTAAATCCATACTTTATGAATACTTCTTGATATTATGTTGTTTCCTACACTGGTCAGACTCTTGCTCTTAAGTTTAGTAGAAGTACATGGTTCAGATGACTCCGGCAGGATGTCTGTCCAAAACTTTTTATTCATTTTGTCCATTAATTTACACAACAGGGACATTTTGAGTATCCTGAAGATGCAAACTTTTGATAATACTGTTATTACTGTTAAAAAAATACTGTTATATAAATATATATTATTATATTTATTACATATATATATATATATATATATATATATATATATATATTCTGTAAATACCAGATAACACTGCACTAGGTAGAGGGTCAACTAGCCCCAAAAGTCGGGAAAAAAACAACTTTTACCATATTTTCCACTATACCATGGATGCACTTTGAATTGTGTCAGCCAGATATATACTGTAAATCTGTCTTTCTGTTGTGTTAAATTCATAAAGGATTTTAAATCAGTTACACTAAAGAGTAATTCAGAAAATGTAGGTCTCTCTTTAATATGTGGATTTATTTCTTGTGACAATATTATTAATACTGTTTTTAATGTTCACTATCTTGAGGGCATTTTTGTGATATCATTATTAAATGGAACGGTTGTCCACCTGTGTTCTTTAGAGCATGTTCTTTTGCTTTTTTGACTGTGTTTAACTGTGATCTGGGCTGGCCCACAGGCAAGGGACCTGAGACCATATTTGCTGGTCAGAATCTGAATGATAATGAGTGGCACACGGTGCGAGTGAGCAGGAGAGGAAAGAGTCTGAAGCTGTCATTGGATGATTTACCCACTGTGGAAGGTATGCTCCTGTTTCTGTTGTTTTGCTTTACATGAAATTAGACACTTAATGAATGCACTAATAATGCATGCAACCTGAAAAAAGTATCCTCCTTGACTTTTTACCCTTACAGAAAAACCACATGAACTTCACATGTGCAATCACGTTAAAATCACATGAGAAATATGTGAAACACATGTGAAACTCATGTGAAACATATATGAAACACACATGAAACATGTGATTATATATTGTCCACATGTGTCCACATTTGTTCACATGTGATCACATGGGTATCACACATTTACACCATGAAATGTTCCAAATCATATGTTTAATATGAGTTTCACATATTTAACATTTGATTTTAATGTGATTGCACATGTGAAGTTCATGTGGGGTTTCTGTAAGGGTAGAAATTGTGTAATTGTATGTAATTTTAACAAAAACATTTACATAATTCTCAATTTCTTTTATCTTGTTTCATATATTTAAGTATCACATATAAGGAACAGAATAACCATTATATAAATGTATGTAAACATGTGAATTATATATTCCCTTTTACAGGTTTCTTACACTGTAATAATTCACACTAATTCACATGACACATAATTTATGTGTCATGTTCTGATTGGTTGTTTTGGTCATGTGTCACATTTTCTCATTGGTTCATTGTCTGATTTTTCACAGGTGTTGCTTGTTAGCTCTTCCCTCTTGTTCCCATTGTTTCTGTCTAGCTTTGTTCTGTGTAACCTGCTGTTAGGTGAGTTTGTCTCAAGGTCATGCCAAGTCAAGTCTCTGTTTATCTTGTATTTGTTAATGTTTTTGGTCTTAAATAAACTACATTTGGGTTCTTTACGCTTGCCTTCAGTGGATTATGTTACAGAAAGCTAGACCAACAAACAGTTTTGTGAGTTATGTTATGTTGTGGACTTTAACGATGTTGCACTAATAGGCATTTTTCATAATGGCCTGAATGATTTGTTAAATTATCTAATGCCTGACAGCAACAGCTCAGAAACTTGAGGAATATATTGACTATGCCTTGTTGGTGAGTGGTTACTCATATACTGTGGGTATTATGTACAAGGAGCCCCACAATCCCACAGTACTCCCACGCCAGGGCCTCATCACATAATGGCCAACACAGAGGAGTCCTCAGCCATCATGGCCGGCATGACTGCCACGCAAGAGACAAGTCACGTCAGGTCTGCTCAGACAACATTTACTCATGTTGTGGCCTTGCCAGTCTGCTCACGTCAGGGCCATCCAAGTCTCACCTGGAGATTTTTTGGGGGGGCAGGGCTGTAGTACCAAAGACTGACGAGACTTATTGCCAGTGTCATGGATTTACATTTAAGGTCAGTGCAAGCAGGGACCAGCCCTAGTCTGGTGGCCCCAAATCCAGTGTTCCCAGAGATTAACCCTCTGACAACAGTGCTTCCTGTGATGGTAGCTGCCATCTTGTGTGTTTGGGCCTCACAATCTTCTCCAGAGGTGACAGCAACCACCACAGCTTTTCCAGAGGCAACGGTGACCGCTACAGCTACTCCAGTGGCGACGGCGACTGCAACAACTCTTTCTCATCTCTCTGCCAGCCATGTCAAGGCTAAGGAGATCATCCATAAAAGGTTTATGGACCAAGTCACAGCCACAAGGGCTGTCCATGAGCATTTTTTGCCCAAAGTTATGGCCACAAACTGTTCCGGCCCCATGTCACGGCCACGGAGGCTGTTCACAAACTCATTGCCTGTCATGTCACAGCCACAGAGGCCATTTATGAACTCTATGCCTGCTATGTCATGGCCCCGGATGCCGTTCCCAAACTCTCAGCCTACTCTGTCACAGCCAGGTCATCCATCCATATCTATGCTCCGCCATGGCCTCCTGACCTGTGGTGGTCTTCTGCCCCATCGCGGTGGCTTTCTACTCAGTCACCATGGTCTCCTGCACCACCAGCTCCACCCTGGTTGCATGCTCTGCCCTGGTCACCTGCGCCACTGGCTTTAGCTTGGTCTCCAGCTCCGCCTTGGTCGCCTGCTCTGTTGGCTCTTCCCTGGTCACCGGCTCTAACTTGGTCTCCAGCTCTGCCCTGGTTCCCTGATCCTTCATGGTTGCTCCACGGTCCAGGCTCACTATGGTCCATGGTCTCCGCCATTACTCTATGGTCCATGGTCTCCACCACTGCTCCACAGTCCAGGCCCACCAGTGCTCCACAGTCCAGTCCTTCTACCATGCCATGATCCAGGTCCAGTTCCCCTTGATGCTCCTGGCCCACCATCCCTCCCCCATGATCGCCTCTACTCCACCACCCTCCTGGAATTTTTTATTTATGTTGGTTTTTGGTGAGTGTCTTGTTAGGGCATCTGGAGCCATCCTTAGGGGTGATATGTTATGTTGGTTTTGTTTTTGTTTAGGTTTTCATGCATTTTATTTTGTAATTTTCAGTCATGGTTCCTTTTCTCACGTGTTACGTGAGAAACGTGTTATGTGTCATTTTCTGATTGGTTGTTTTGGTCAGGTGTCCCGTTTTCTCATTAGTTCATTGCCAGATTGTTCACAGGTGTTACTTGTTAGCTCATTGGTTTCTGTGGATTTATAGCCCTCTTCTTCCCATTGTCTTTGTCTATCTTTGTTCTATGTAACCTGCTGTTCGGTGAGTTTGTCTCATGGTCACGCCAAGTCAAATCTCTGTTTGTCTTGTATTTTTTAATGTTTTTGGACTTGGGTTCTTTACGCTCGCCTTCAGTGGATTATGTTACACACGGCTGCAACAAATGACCAACAAACAAGGTCATTGGATTATTGTGTTCACCTGCTTGGTGTTTGTTGGACAGTTAGATAGAGTTCATTTCATTGGTATGATGGAAATTACTCTAACCGAAACAATCCTAGGTGCCAACCAAAATCACCCTTGCAATACACAACATGACTTTTAAAATCTGAACAGATTTAAAAAAGTGAACAGATACAGAAAAAAAACTGGGCATCAAACTGGGCATCATACACTACACATCATACACTGAAGGCTTGATTACACTACATGACTTTTGCCCAGATTTTTGGACGAGTCTGTCTGGACGAGTCAGTGCGTGTTGCTGAATATCAGAGCCGGTCCTCAGATATTGGGCAGTCAAAGTCAACAGATTTTGCAGACGTTTGGAGAGTGTATGATGGGCACAGACACTGATTTTTTTAGCTTCACACTATTATTCCATCCAGTCAGAGGATATCAAACACGTGTGATATTTTGAGCTGATGTAGGACACACATTGTTTTAATTTGTATTGCATCTCATAGCAATGAGCCAAATGCTTCTGTGTGAGTTTGTTGTATTCAGAATGACCTGAAAGTTGATAGTGTGAAAGCTCACACTACTGGACTTACAAGTCTTTACAAACACAACACTTGCAGAAACATGCAGTTTGTTGCTATAAAAGATGCATGACAATATAAAATAATCCCCTATAGAATGCAAATTGTGGTCAGGAAGTCAGGAAGTGTATCCCAGCTTTAGTTGCCGTGTTTTAGCACGTTGTTAGAGCATCCACAATGGGAGACACATATTCAGACTATTTAAGTAATCGGGCATTGGGCATTTACATAATTTTGTGCTGTTGTAATATTATGTTTTGTTGTGATTAATCTCATATATGGAGCATCAGGATGAGTTAATTAATCATCTACCAAAGTGCTTCAGTTTACTCATGTTCTTCTTCAGCTTCAGCTCATGCAGTTCAAATAGCAATGCCCTACATTATAATTGGATTATTTGAAGAAAAAAAACATCATATTCATTTTAGATGTTTCTATTTTTAAATATTGATAATGCATTATTAATAATCTGGCAGTGCTGTTCTTTCATTGTCATATTTTCGTGAAGAATTGAATTAGCATTGGTTTATTTCAGCTGAAAATCCTTTACCTACTTTAGTGTTCCCTGTTAAAGGGGTCATATGATGCGATTTTAAATTTTTCCTTTCTCTTTGAAGTGTTACAAGCTCTTGGTGCATAAAGAAGATCTGTAAAGTTGCAAAGACTAAAGTCTCAAATCCAAAGAGATATTCTTTATAAAAGTTAAGTCAGCCACGCCTACCTAGAATAGCTCGTTCTAACACGCCCCCACATATCTACCTCACTATGTGGGAAGATTTTCATAACACCGCCCAAATGTTCAGGCAAAGAAAGAAGGTGTAACTTTTATTCTTGCTGTAGTATTCTTGCCGCCGCCGCCATGTTGTAAAGGTGCTGTGTGTTTCGTTGTGAAAGTGAAACTACTTTGTTTAGCCTTCCAAAAGAGGACAATATCCGCTTCGTCATGCCTGGAGCTGAGCCGTGCTGGTCGCTGAGGAAATACATCAATTTCGCGCTATGGATTGCCGGATCGGCTTTCACCGTGGACGAAGCGGAGTCCAGCCTGGGGTCGTCACATGTGGTTGCCACAAGCCCGCCGGCCATGCCGTTCTCAAGCCCACCGGCCTCCACTCACTCAGCCCGCCAGCCGTTCCTCACTCTAGCCTGCCGTGTGTGACACTGTGTTCGTTGTGAAAGCGAAACTACTTTGTTTGGCCTTCCAAAAGAGGACACGACTAGAAATCAGTGGTTAAGTTGTATTTACAACACTGTTCCAGAACACTTCAACCCAAATATTCAGATGTGTGCAGCACATTTTATGGAGGACTGTTTCCTGATCCTGGTAGAGTAGACTACAATGCCGGCTGTTCTGACTCCCAGTCTGTAAGTACGTTTTTTATATTTAAAGAATTTGCCACTGATGATTCAAACGCGAGTTTTGAGCAGTGTAGAGTAGCTCTTGTTGTTTGTCATTTCTCCGATCACAAATGCAGACATGGTTTTATGTTTACGCGGCGCGATGCAACGCTTGAGATATTCGGCCAATCTCAACGCACTGGATAGCTGGCCAATCACAGCACACCTTGCTTTTCAGACCGATGAGCTTTGTAAAATTGACGCGTTTCAGAAAGGCGGGGCATAGAGGAGAAACAATAATGTACAGGATGTGGAAAAAAAAATGAGTTTTGAACCTTAAACAGCATAAACACATTTCATTACACCAAATACACAAAATAATGTTCTTTTTAGCAGCATCATATGACCCCTTTAACATTTTAGTAATTGTTTGTAAATCTTTCATTATGATATATTATCTTCAAATCTTGGATTTGATCTTTTTATCAACTTGTATTCTTTCAATTAGCACAGGTTTTGTATTTCTTTTTGGAACTGATCAATCGTAGGCCTCACTGATCCGAGCATATGCTCCTCAGTTTGAGTAAAAAAAGCATTATTTGTGGATCATTTTGGAAATGTTCAGAAACTTAGGTGTGTAAGCTCAGGTCAATGAAGCCTACAATCAATTAGTTCCAAAAGGAAATATAAAACCTGTGTTAATTAAAGGAAAACTAGTATTTTTGGGGAAAAGAAAATCCTCTCTGTGTCAAAATGACTGGAGCAAAAAATGACTGGATTAATTAACAACATAAATTGATCTCATGCGCATGGAATGAAACCAAGTCCATTTGGAATTTATCTTCTTTATAACTATCTAACTAATTTATATTAGTGTGGAGTAACACTGTATTATCATCTGTTACTGTCTGCTCTGTGAGTGTGGAGGAGCTGCCTGACTGCTGACTCCAACACAGAGAGCAGACAAGAGGACAGGCCTAGTTGAAGTTTGTTGAGACAATGTGAACTGGCATTTTAATGATCCAGATGAAATAAACCTTTCATTTTTCTCAACACTGCCATGAAACAGGAGAGATATCAGGTGACCACACACACCTGGAGTTTCATAACATAGAGACGGGGATCATTACAGAGAAACACTACCTGCCCATCACACCCTCCAACTTCATTGGGCATCTCCAGAGCCTGACATTTAACGGCAAGCCATACATCGACCTCTGCATAAATGGAGACATAGACTACTGCGAAGTCAATGCCATAATTGGATTTAAGAACATCATTGCAGATCCAGTGACCTTCAAGTCCTGCACAAGCTATCTGTCTCTGAGCACACTGCAGGCGTACTACTCCATGCACCTGTTCTTCCAGTTCAAGACCACCTCATCAGACGGGCTCATCCTGTTCAACAGTGGAGATGGAAATGACTTCATAGCTGTAGAGCTGGTTAAGGGGTACGTTATGGAGAGACAGACATGATCATTACAGTCAGATGCTGTTGTTATTTATTTATTCATCACCTTCATTCCCTATCAAAATATATTATAATCCTTGCAAATGGAAAAACAGATATTTCTAGGTAAATAAATTAATGTGCACAGACGTGTGTATTATTATTATTATTATTATATGAGAACTAATTAGATTTAAATGTCTAAAACCATCTGTATATTGACAAAGTGTAATCTGTATATAGGAGGAGTATATGTCAGAGGTTTGCAGACACTGAGACAGTAATGACTATAGAAAAATACAAATGTAAAAGCTTATAAAATATAGTTGATAAATAATAGCTGTCACTTCAATTTCAGAATAATTTAATAAGAAATATTTAAGTTCAAATTGAGCTCTCTCACAATCATTTGCTTCTAAATCTCTTGAGGAAACATGTCACTTCTTTTTCTGGAGCAAAATGTCTCCACATACACTAAAAAATGCTGGGTTAAATATAACACAGCACTGGGTTAAAAAGGGACACACCCAGCTATTGGGTTGTTTTGACCCAGCATTTTTTAGAGTGTAATTAATTCTCTGTCTGAGAAAAACAATTGATATATTAAAGATATCTTATTTGTGAATTTTTTTTCCCTATAGGGAACTGAAAGCTAAAATGAATTTAGCTTAGACCTGCTAATTGACTTTAATTTAATTTCATGATGTCTTTGTTTAGCTACCTGCATTACATCTCAGATCTGGGAAATGGTGCTTATCTCATCAAAGGAAATTCAAACAAACCTCTTAATGACAATCAATGGCACAATGTCATCATCTCCAGAGACACACATAACCTGCAGACTGTCAAACTTGACACCAAAATCACCTCCCAGTCCATCGTGGGTGCCAAACATCTTGACTTAAAAGGTAAATTACACATTACGGTTACTTTAACTTGCCAATAACCCTGCCCTGCTGCCTTTTTTGAGACAATGGTGATGATTGGATTGTTTTATGAATTACAAATAATTTGGTAACACTAGACTATGGAACACTATTCAGTTCTAATTGGTTGCTCATTAGCATGCATATTACTAGCATGTAGACTGTTTATTCGTACTTATAAAACATGTAAAAATGGGCATAATAGGTCACCTTTAATACAAGATGTAAAATAAGTCTGATGTCCCCAGAGTATGTGAAGTTTTAGCTCCAAATACCCCAAGATAATTTTTTATAGCTTGTTGAAATTGCCACTTTTAGGGTATGAGCTAAAATGCAATCGTTTTTTGTTTGTCCCTTTAAATGCAAAAGAGCTGGTGCTCCCGCCTCCCTTTTCAGAAGAGGGCGGAGCCTCAATATCTCATGCTCTGGCGTATATACCAATGCTGGTCTTTGCTAATAAACATTCCACTATTAGTATAAGCCTGTTATCTCTGCAGAAAACATGCTCGGTATAAAAGTCAGTCATCTGATTGTACTGTGCATAATAAATGCGCGTTTATGAATTACACAGACGGGGAGCACCGCGTGATAAAAATAACGACATAGCTGGTCTCATGGTGCCTTCGCTTGCTATCACAAACTTTATAAGTCCCACTTGTGATAATGAGCTCGACAAATTCAAGTGTTCGACTTATTGCTTTCATATGCAATTTTTCATTACCACATTCCTTTTTACAATCATTCTGGTAGCATGTGAAGGCAGCATCTGTGAAAACCGGCAGAGACAATGGTAACTTTAGCTTTAGCTAATTGATCCCTCTTTCGGAAGCAAGCATTGCACAACTCCAGCACTGAACTGACCCTCGTTTGTGAGGCAGTCCGGCGTAAAATGATTGGCACAAACATATAGGACTTTAGTGTTTTTTTTTTCTGGGACATTTCCTTTGAAAATGAAATGTAACCACTGTGTCCTCGGCGGCTCAGATGGAGGGAGTCTATGGAGACTCCTATGTTCATTGGTGCATCCCAATACACAACACAACACTTGTGATGCCTCTTAAGCCCGGGATACACTGCACGATTTTAGCAATCCTATAAGATCATTACTTTCTCACACTGTGCGGCATGGATCGTTTAAACTTGGGTACGACAAGCATGTAGACTGTACGATGATGACACCTATTGAATCGTAGGCTGCGACGGCTGTGACACACGTTAGCGCAACGTCATCAGCATGCGCTAGTGGTAAACAAATACCGGTACATCAAGATGGATCGCGCTTTGCCAGTTGTGCTTTTTGTATGCGCTGAAAGAAAGAAGAGGCACCGGTGGAAGAGGGCAATATGGACCCGCTCATGGCTCGGGAAAAGAGGACAACTTGGGATGCCAGTTTTGCACAGGGAGCTTGGCAGCTGCAGTTCCTCCGCAATCTCCTTCCATGCTATGTCCTTTTTGGTGCAGTCATGATAGCAGCTAGAGGACACATCGTACAAACATGCCCTCTGCTGCCACAACGCAACAAGAATTTGTTCTTGTATCCCACATACCAGTATACCTTCTACTTTCCATGGCATTGAAATTGTAGCGCCGCTGGTCGCGTGGATCAATACGTCATTTCATGTTGCAATTTCATTGGCTGCTGAGTAGACGCAGGTCGTTGCAACAAACACACTGTGCGTTGATCATGCTGAATTCCTGACACTGTCAGAAAACTATCGTAGGCTATCGTTGGTCACAAGACCGGGAAAACTCCCGTCTTTGAACCTCTCTCACTGTACGACATAGTACCACCTATTAAGAGCCACGATCACAGAAATCGCCACGATTGCTTCACGATGGAAATCTTTCGTCTGGGACAGCCAAAAATCGTGCAGTGTATCCCGAGCTTTAGGCGCTGACATTGAAATCTGGAACCACTCGTTTGGAGAGACTTGTTTATGATTTATTGGGATTATATACAAAAATGAGTGGGTGGATTTTCACCATTATAGGCTGGTTGATTTCACACACTGCAACCACACAACCTGTGTTCAAACACATTATAAAAGTGATTTTTGCATAATAGGTCACTTTTAATGCCTTATTCTTCATGGCCATATTCTAGATCCCTTAACCCTACCAAGGCCAAAACATAAGTAGATTTTTTTTATATATCATTATAAACATTATGCTTTCCTTGCCATTAGAAAATAACCAATTTTCTGGCTGTGTTTGCAGGTGATCTTTACATTGGTGGTGTTCCTGAGGAGATATACAAAGAGTTACCCAAGTTAGTACATGCAAAAGAAGGATTTCAAGGCTGTCTGGCATCTGTGGATCTAAACGGCCGTTTGCCAGACCTGATGTCTGAAGCGCTGGTCTGTGTTGGACAGATTGAGAGAGGATGTGAAGGTGACAACACATTTCTTAATGTTTAATAAGCAGAATAATGTAATTATTGATGATACAAGATCTGACCACCCTGTCAGGGTTTATTTTGCAATACATACAAAATTTTCATACAAAAAGAAATGGCTATTTGAGCAAATAGCGTTAGGTGTAAAATAGCAAGTGTAAATAGCAAAATAATTTTTTTTTGCAGTTTATCATTAACATTTGCCATGACAGGTTTACTAAGTTTACCTTGGTAATCATTTCACTCTGACTATTGTTGCTTTTGTCCAAAGATTTGTAGTATCTGTCATGCTATTGACGTTTATTGTGTCTCTTGCACATGCAGCAGTTTGCTGGAAACACTCTTGAATGGATAGCATAATTTCTGCTGTTGCTGCATGAAATCTACTTTTCATACACAGCGTTATACCACAAACAACATAAATATTTTATTCTGTTTCCATCACACTCCTGCTTTACATAAATGACACGTTGACCTTTCTCTTGGCAGCTGCTTTGTCCTCATACAGATATCCTTGTACAGGTGCTGGTGCTTCTCAATTCATTATTGGTGCATCCTCATTTGCTTTCCTTGTGTCCTTTCTTCTCGCTCTTAAGATTCAAGGGTGGCATGAAAAGGAAAGCAAACAAGGTGGAGGAATTGAAGAAAAATGGTTTGAATGAATTGGAATATCCTTTCTCACAAATTAACAATTACGCACAAGGATCTGTGAGAAGTTTGTAAAAATAAATAAAACAAGTGCTTTATTGGTTACAGGGAACCAAATTCAGCACTTTTGAGTTTGAAATAAATTCATTAAAAGTTTACAAGGTTAGTAACATCAAATCTTTAATCAAGTTTTGCTTGAGACAGCAGTCCCATTTTTAAATGTGCTAATGAGGTATATCTCAGAAAACCCCACCTCTAAATAAAACTGAATTGTGGTTGATTGTTTTTAATGTAAATGTAATGCAGAATAACATGCAGTGTAGACGGAGGTTGCTTCTCAATTCCCTAGTGAAACTGCCTAGTTTCATCTCTCCTCAATCTCAGCCTGTGACCCAGAAACCGATAAAACTCTGCCATGATGAATGACGTACAAGTTGTCTAATTTTACCATGAGAATGAGAGGAGTGAGGGCAGAGGAATAATCCTGAGTAGCTTCAGTGAGGATACACAGGTGCATCCTATATGAAGGAAGCCTTTGTAGTGAACAACATATTATAGGGCATTCAAAAGATAAATCGAGTGTCTCCATGAGAATGGTTGTTGGACTGGTTTATTTTGTCTGACCCAACCAGACAATGGATGGATGGATATAATGCCTTGACTATTATACTAAGCATTAAATGTAGTGTGCAGTAGCTGGTTGAATGCAGTAGTTTACTAGAAGTTAATTAACACCTACTATTTTTTTTTTTTCTTAACTCCCAGAGAACTACTACGACATTATATACAGTACAGTGTCATACTGAATGTGAATAACGCATAGTTCATTAATTCTAAAGTGAAGATCATGGTAACCCACTAGTTTTGGATGGTAATTCCTTCTGAAGGATTTTGTAACACTTGTAACTACATAACTAGTGGAATACCATGATCTTCACTTTAGAATACTGATCCTAATAGGTAGTAATTTCTTTAGAAGAAACTAGTAACACTTGAGTCATTACTGCTGGGGGACAGACAAGACTCTAAATGTCCCAGTAGTCTCCAGTTCTTCTCACTGAATCACTAGAGAGAAATAATGTGAAAACAAAGTTGAATACAAATAAGTGTGAAGTTCAGAGGAATCCCAGAATATTGGCCACAAGTGTAAGGTCCCAAAAACTACACCAAAAAAGCATTTATCTGGGAGGTATGAACAAAAAAAAAAAGTTACTGATTAGCTGAACGTCAACTACCAAATTCAACTGAGCGTTATTAGTAATTTGTTAATCTCTTGTGAGTCAATAGTAGTTACTGGAATGTTAATGTTGTGTTACTTATTTGTTCATGTGTAGTTATACTTAAGTGTTACTGAAGATGACACAGATAAGAAGGGAGTTATTTTTGGGTTTGTAAATAAAAATATACAAATTCTGATGTTTCCATCAACTTAATGAAGGCCAAGATACCAAAACTGAAAGTATACAATGATGTGCACTAGACCACAGATTGCTTATAAAGCATAGTAATTTAAGATAAACACGTCTACACAACTAAATATACTGGAGGCAGCATGTATGTTAACAATTTCTCTGTAGTCATGAACATTTGAAAATGTAGTTTGAACAAGGATTTTTCCAACTGCTAGATTAAGGCATGCCCTGTTGTGATATAAAATCCTAACCTAACCCTCAAATTCTTAAGTGTGCCAGTATGCACTCTAAAAGAAAGCCTGTTATCTAACTACTCCCAAATACTTTATATTCAATTGAGTTCCCTCCTGTAAGAATGCTAACCATATCTGGGATATAGGAGTTAGCTCTAGAAAAGATAATAAATTTAGCTTCTTCTTCTTCTTCTTCTTCTTCTTTTAGCATTAACTACCAACTTAAGTTCATACAATGAAACTTGCTGCTTTTGAAAAGCCATCTAGCTCATCAACAGCCTGACACCCAACCCCATATTACTGATTCTGCCTCACAACAACTCATGGTCAACTGTATCAAAGCTGGACAGATCACCAAACAGGGCCATACAATGCTGTTTTTTTTTTTTTTGTCCAAGGCATTGATAATATCATTTGATACCAACCATAGACTGTAAAAAAAGATGGACCACTTCCTTCCACTATAGAAAAGTGAATCCAAAACATCCCAGTATGGCAGCTGTCATCTTGTACCAATGACGTTATTTGGAGCCTAAGTCTGTGCAGTAGTGATTCTTTTTTAGCCTGAGCCTGTGCAGTAGAGATTCATTTGGAACCCAAATCTGCGCAGTAGTGATTCATTTGGAACCGGAGTCTGTGCAGTAGTGATTCATTTGGAACCCAAATCTGCGCAGTAGTGATTCATTTGGAGCCTGAGTCTGTGCAGTAGTGATTCATTTGGAACCTGAGTCTGTGCAGTAGTGATTCATTTGGAACCCGAGTCTGTGCAGTAGTGACTCATTTGGAACCCGAGTCTGTGCAGTAGTGATTCATTTGGAACCCAAATCTGCGCAGTAGTGATTCATTTGGAGCCCGAGTCTGCGCAGTAGTGATTCATTTGGAACCCAA